TCGACATAAAGATTTGACGCATTATCATTGAAGTCATGTCTTTTCCTTTCTCTTTGTAGTTCTTCTTTTTTTCGAATTCAAGTTTCTACTTTAATGTTTTCTTGCTTTGTTGAATTGTAACTATAGGTGGTATGCAAGTTGGAGGTGGGATCAATGCAGATAATGCCATGAATTATCTTGAAGAAGGGGCAAGTCATGTGATTGTTACCTCGGTATGTATTCATTTACTTGCATGTAGAATGTTTGCAGTGCGAATGTTTGCAATCCAATCTTACTCACAAGCCTAAACCAACTCCCGGGTCAAAAGATGATTATAGGGGAAAAAAGAAAGAATATTAAGAGAACTCTATTGATTCATCCTTTTTTACGTAACACATTGATAGTTCAATGGCTTATTTATAGCTATCAATTCAACAGACCAGAAGGGATACGGCTCTTGTCCAGAGTCCCCTTGTGCATTTGGACATGGACACACCTCCTTGGTGTAGAATGTCTTTCATTCTTTCTCTTGACATATATACACAGTATAAATAGTAAAAAGATCTGAAATGTTTATTGTTAGATAATGCTTTATTTATATACAAAATATATAATAGAAATTTCTTATTGATTTTATGTCTTTTGTTGATTACATCATATTTTGATTACTAGTTCTATTATATGCTTATATATGTTGAATTCTGATACCAAGAGCTACTTTCTCACTTTTATAAACATATAAAAATAATTAGGAGCTGAAACTATAGGTGGCAAAGTTGGGGGACAACCTCAATTTCCTGATCCTCCAAAATCTTAAGAATTCAGCTGTCGTTATGCAGGCACTTTGTCTGTTGAAAATTGTGTACTGAACCACCAATACTTGTTACTCTTTCACAGTATGTTTTCAGCGATGGGAAGATGGATCTTGAGCGACTTAAACATCTTGTCAATATGATTGGCAAGGATAGACTTGTGTTGGATCTTAGCTGCAGAAAGAAGGTATACTATTTCTTTGCTAGTAATGGTAGCATGGACTTGTATGCAATTGATGATGTCTACAGTAAAGTTCTGATTTTGGAGATGTGACCGTATCGTAGGATGTGAAACTTGCTGTCTGATAAGGTTCTATGTTTCTCTTATGTTTTACAATTGGTTATAGAACCATTTACTTCAGTTGCAAAATGATGAAATTTCTTGGTTTTGAGTCCACACATCCCTTTCTTCTCCTACATTCCTTCTGGTTAGATCTGATCATGCTTCTATTATGTCAAATTTGAACTATGTTTTGGCCCTTCTGACATTTAGCAATTCCTTTTATTGCATATATTGCTTTAATGTTTTTCATATTAATAATTACCAAATCTTGTAGGATCACTGGTGCAAACAATATTGTTGATACAATTTTCCTTTTTTACCTTGATCTTTTTCCTTTTTCATGTATCTTTGTAGTTGACATGGATCAATTTAAACTCTTGAATTTTAAATCAGATGTTGTCATTTTCTAAGGATTACTTTGCAAGTGTCTGTATCCACCTTGAAGGAAAGCATGCTAGTCTTAACTGTTCCTGTCATATGCACAAATTTCATTGCTGTTTTATTGTTAATTATCCTTCAACAGGACATGACATCAATTTAATCTAAGCCTTAAGATGTCCATGTATGTTGTTCCACATACGCCAAGCATGCTAATCTTAACTCGGCCTACCTTAGGCACATTTGCTGTAACTATAAATTTGAACACTTTTTTTCCCTTAAGTAAACATACTAATTTGATCACTTCCTTCCTGTCCTTCAATGTCAAAAAACAATGCTTGTTGAATTTATTTTTTTTGTTTTGGTGTTATATAATATGACATTATTTTTGTTGTTATATTTTGACTTGTTGTTAACTTGTTAAATTGGTTATTTTCAGGAGGAATTATTTCATTTCTCATCTCTTTTGTTCTTGACCTTTGCTCTCCCACAGGATGGGAAGTATTCCATTGTTACTGACAGATGGCAGAAGTTCAGTGATGTTATTCTTGACAAGGAAACTTTGGAGTTCCTTGCCAAATATTCAGATGAATTTTTGATTCATGGGGTTGATGTTGAGGGGAAAAGGTAGCCTCTCTGGTTCTCATTTTCCTTTTTGATAACCTGAAGTTACTTGCGTGTCTGATTTTTTATAGTTTTAATAAACTGTGGGTTTCTGGTTACTCCTATTATGTAGTGATTCGGCTTGGCATTGTGGGTTAAAATTTAAATTACTTGATAACATATGCCTTACTTGAACCACTAACTGCTCCTTTTGCATGGGGATTATGTTTCTACAACACATTTGGACCATTTTTTTTCTGGCAAGTTTTTATGAAGCTTTTATCTGTCTGTATTGAATGTCAGTCTTTAACCTTTAATATGATGCCATGCTTGTCAAAGCCCTTTATGTTTTTGCTGTCTCTCATATCTGATTTTACCATTTGAGCCTCTTTCCTATGACGACCATCAAATTTTCTTGATGGATTATGTTTTTTTGCTTGGTGCATTTTCATGTTATACTTTTACATTGTTTTCACAATGCTTCATCTCAACTCTTCCCTTTTATAGATGTTAGGTGTTCTGAAACTTCATGAACTTATAGCTTATCCTTGATTTCGTCTTCTCTCCTATTTTACTGTTTGATTACATTGTTAACAAATAGCAACTATCAATATTCAAAAGATCTCGTAATTGTTAGTTGGGCTTGGTTAACTGCAGATAATTTATTAGTTTAATAACGACTGTGGTGCATGCAGATCATCCAATAAAGTGGTGACTTTATCCTTCCAATTCTCATGGTTATTAAGTTTATGTTTATTGTGTTTCTTGACTTTTAAAAGTAACCTTATTGCTGCTGTATTGATGCTACTTGAAACTTAAGGTAAATTGTGGGTGTGAAGAGTTGAGAAATTTATAATTTGTTGTATAATCTGACTTATCCTTTTGTGTTATGGCAGGCTAGGAATTGATGAGGAGCTTGTGATGTTACTCGGTTGTTATTCACCTGTATGTTACTCATTTTCTGACAACACTTCTCCTAACGTGCTAATTATCAATTAGGTTTAGTCAAGAATTTCCCTTGCTGTTTGATATTTCATCATTCTTTGAATAGAACACTCATTTTCTTAATTTATGTTTTTATTTTGATTTATCAATATTTCGTTCTTTTGTAGCCAAAATATTGTGGCGGTGTTCCTTTATAGAAATGAAATTTCTGCATTGTGGAAATACTATGTTTCTTACGATTAGTTACCGGTTGCACTGTTTATGATATAATTACATATGACGGCATTCCTCCTTGGTATTGTTTAGAAATCTGGTATCTTGATACCCAAACAATATGCATGATAGAGATTCTGCATGGTTGCAATGGTGTTTGGTTGATTGTTCTCAATTGGCCATCCTTAATAAAGAATCACAATCTGTAGATATTCTTGCTCCTAATTGGAAGTATTATTATATTCTTAGATTCCAGTTACTTATGCTGGTGGGGTCACAACAATGGCAGACCTAGAGAAGATAAAAACAGCAGGCAAGGAACAAGTTGATGTCACAGTTGGCAGTGCTCTGGATATTTTTGGAGGAAATATGGCATACAAGGAAGTTGTTGCTTGGCACAACAAACAAGTGATGATAAGCCAACAGCCTTCATGAGTTTCTACACGAAATTAACGTTTTAAATCAGATTCCACATGAATATCTATTCTGCTTATCATTTATGCACTTTATTCTGGTGAAGTCTTTATTAAGACTCCAAAATATTTTTGTATTTGTAATGGATATGGTTTAACACAATTTGTTACTCTGTTGTCTGCTTTCACCATTGTGACATCATTCTGTGATGTGGTATGGAGAAGTTAAGCATTGTGCTCGTCGTGTCACAGTCGAAGTTGCGAGTAGTGAGAAACATGAAATGGGTTAATGCTTTTACCTGACGATGATAAATGCAAGTGATCCATTCACCCATCTTATGCCATTATGAGAATCACATATTAGAAGATGCCATTACGAAAATGAAATATTAGAAGTGCTTAGTGTTCGTGTTTGATTGCAGTTCTCTTGTGGTTCCTCATGTTTGTTGCACTCATTCCTTGTTTGGGTTCACATTCTGCATAGATCTTACCATAAGGATATTTTTGCTGATTCTGGTCTAATTTGTAAGGTTATGATAGAGCTCTCTCTATTGAATTAAAAATGAACTTGTTGATTATGGATTTGTACTGCCGTCATATAGGTTTAAGTTGTCCCAACAACTTCACAAAGTTTATCACAAATATAAATTTAGAAAGAGAATTGAAGGGGAAGAATATCATGAAGGAAATATTGAAGCAGTATTGAGTTGAGTCGAGACTCGCTACCATGGATGCAAGTTTTTTTTTTATTGGTTGTGCTTTTGGTGTGTGGAAATATTGTGCTATTAGCAGCCTGTTTAAAGTGCAATGCATTCTTATCGTCATAAAAAAGTTATACTGATGGGAATATTGTGAATGTTGATTTGAGAAACCTATTTGAGGAAAAGAGGGAATTTAAGGAGAAAGTTGACATTAGATTCTCCAATATCCTGATGGTTCCTCAATTTGAGAGCAACCTAGTAATACTGAGTCTGCATGGAAGACATGGTTGGTTTTCTCTTTCTTCCACATTTCTAATTGCTCCATGTCATTAAAGGCATCCAGGTTTAGAGCTTTTGGCGGATAGCTGCAAAGGTCATGGTGAGGGGAAGGTAGTGGCAGGGAAAGATAAAAGAGAAAGAGAAAGAGAAAAGAAGGGAATGTAATGTTGCCAGAACTTACATTTGCTTTATTCACTAGCATGGTTTTTAGAATTTGTGGCTGGAGATGAGCACTACTACATTGGCATATGACTGAATACAAGAGTTGATTGAGATGAGGATTCTCTCTAATGAGATCCACAGTAGTAGATATAGTGATGGTATGTTGCACTGCCATTATTTGTGATTTTTGTTGATTGACATGACAGTTAAAATCCTCAACAACCAAGTTAGACAACTGGTTACAATGTTGGAAAGAACCAAGGAACCGAGCAATGACTCCAAGGTGAGATATGTGAATACCAATCCAAAATTGATTGAATGTGACTCTGATATAACTCTAGTCTCTGTTGGGAATTCTCTTATGGGTGGTTTGTCAAGTGAATATTTCTATGCGAGGAAATTGTGAGATTGTAAGAGTATATATCTGGAGATGTTCCTTGTAGCTACTCTCCACACCTCAAAAGTAGTGTGTTAGTAGAGTATGGAGTACAAATACAGCAGTTGTATGAAATTAATTTTCCTAGATATAGTAGTGATTTAATCTCTGAGATTAATGTTTGCAGCTACTCAAATCAAAACATTATATGATCGAAGGTTTTAAATACTAATGTATGTACCAATGCAAGTTTATGGATTTGATCAAATGCTGATATCAAAATGTACATATGAAAACTCACTTCATTGGTTTGTCATTGCGGACTGCATTTAGCCAAAGCCAGGCTGAATTATATGTGGGGGAAGAGAGTGGGACAGACGATGGTATATGTTGCTCTTATGGCTGGAAGCTTCAATGATAGCGCCATGTCCTTCTCATGGCTGGAAGCTTCAATGATAGCGCCATGTCCTTGTCTGCCAAGACCTCCGGAATCATTCTTCCTCTCATCACCTTACCTGTTCTTCTTTTATGTGGCCTCCTGCATCCCCCGTTAGCTCACTCTGCATCCCCCATTAGTTCTCGAGGGAATCTGAAGAAGAGTCGAAGGCTAGCTGAGAGCTTAGCTTCCCTTTTCATGTTGTATACTCGTACAGAGGTCAACGAGTGTACCACTGTGTGATCATGGCGGGGATGCTCCCTGGCGTGGAATGCGCCCGGCGGAGGGGCTTCCATCTCGGCGGTCCGGTGGATTCGTCCACCAGTTCGAGGAGGTCATCCTTTTGCTTGTACAGAACAGGACATGAGGCGCATCTGAGTAGTAGCTCCACGGTACAGTTCACCTTCATCTTCTTCTTGAACATTGAGTTCATCCTCGTTCGTCGTTTTCCTTTTAGCTAACTTGGTGTGGTGGTGGTGGCTCATCAGAAAAGAAGCACCTTGAGCAGAGAAATCCATGGCGAGGCACTCGGACACGTCGCCAGGGAAGCCAAGGAGAGGTTGGATGCAAGACTACAGATCAAGAGGTGTGTGGGGAATCCGGCGTGCATCTCCTTCTTGCCTAGCACACGAGTTGTTTGTTGTGATTGCGTCTGCTGTTTTAACTGCAGGCATAATAGCTTAGGGAGCGTGAAGCAGACCAAGAACGAGGGATGTGGCCAGGGACACAAACACAGGATCCTTGGCTCTGTGCAGAGAGAGGTGTTCTCTTCCTCCAAGAAGAGCAGCAGGAAGTTTAGTTGGAGCAAGCTGGGGTGGAGGTCGGCGGAGCAGGCGGATTGCGCGGTGTGCTTGGAGGAGTTCGAGACGGGCGATATACTGGTGCATCTGCCGTGCGATCACAGGTTCCACTGGGACTGCGTGTTGCCATGGCTAGAGAGCAGCTCTCACTGCCCATGTTGCAGAACCACCATAGTTTCTCAGTGATCATTTCTGCAGATAACATCGGAATCAGTAATCCGAGGATAGATTAATGGTCTGACCTGCTGCCACTCGAGGCTTCATCATCGTGTTTAGACCCTAAACTGATCCAAGTTGCAGTAAGTTTCTGCTGCTCTTGTGCATGTTTGGTGGAACATAAGCAGTAGGTTTCAATGAAAGATTAAGATTAAGATGTTCGTGTTGATTTTGATGAAGGATGAGCACAAAGAATTCCTACACCCAGTTGAACATCCAAGTGTTTTGGTCATAATTCCTTCACTGGATCCTAAATGTTTAATTACCAGAAAGATATTGATAATTTCAACACAGCCTTGTTGTTCATTCTGCATTGGTCAATAACCAAAACTATTCGTATTTCAAGTATGAAATATGGATAAAGTCTACATTTATGGCATTTTTAGATTTCTTTTTTTTTTTTCCCTGAAGAATAAATGAAGTTTAATGTTTGATGTCGACAAGATGCGGCCCATTTTGTTTCTTTCCTTGTATCAACATCAAGAAAAAAATTAATTTTCATTTTTGGCAAAAGAAAAGAACTCAAATTTATGTATTTGAAGTTAATAGATGAAGACTAGTTTGCATCTCTCTTTTTCCATATCTCAGAGGAAGTTTGACTCAGAAAGAGAAGCCATGTTTGCACATATATCTTCTACCTATTTGGTCAGTATCATAATCTTCGGCAACTTTTTCTTTCTTTTCTGAGGGTACAATTCCATTTTGCAAAGAATTAACAAGATTTATCTTGCAATTAGATTTTTAGTCTCCATGATTAGGTTATATTAACAAGATTTATCTTGCAATTTGTTTATGTTCTTCCTGTCATTTAGTTGGAGATAGATACTAGTCATATCACTGTAGATTGATGATCATCAGCCTTAGAAAGCACAACCATTTTCTTCTGTAAGTCATTTATTACGAGCTATGTCATCATTATCATAGTCATGACAAACAAAGGCTGACAAAGACCCAATTTGATCACCAAACTTGAAATATTATCTTCTCTTTCTAGGCCACAGTCTTGACTGTCATAAACTAAATAATTTGTTCTTAACATCTGCAAGAAATCTCTCCAAAGAGCAAATTGTAAGCCAACAAGATCATCATACGCCAAAGTTGTTAACTTGGAATAATGAGATTAACTCAGAGAGTTCTTGTTGTTAGGTGGCCATATGTAAATGACCACCTGAGACTGACACAGACAGGTGAGCATGAAGAAATAATTGAGATGGTGTATTGTCAGTGGTAAAGTATGTCCCCATTCTGAAATGACAGCCATCAACTCCAAGTGGGAGAATTATTGAGGTTTAGGTGTCTGCTGAAGCTGATGGATATGAGCATGGCTGTCCCATGTGGAGGGAACTGCCCTAAAGCATAAAAATTATGTTGGATGTTTCAGTCTTTGCCATCTAGCCAAGGCCCGATCCGAAGTCTGAACATTGCCCTAGAGTTATATCTGCAGAATAATACCAGTAATGAATTCTTTAGTTTGCAATTTCCTCATCTGCATCTGTAAGTAAAGTAAAACCTTGGCTGATCTACATTAAGCTGACTTGTACTTTTTACCTTCAGTCCATCTTTATGTCAGACATTTATTTTCGTCACCTCATGGTTTTCCTGATCAAGAGCTTCAGTACAATCTACAAGTTGGTGCTCCTGTAGCTCCATTAAGTGTGGTGGCTATACTGAGCCAAAACATTACCGAAACATGCTTCAGGACAATCTCCTCTTGAGCATGCTAGTGGAGCTTCTACCTGGGCATCCGATGTGAAAGAGATTCTCATCAATGTCAGCATATACCGCCACTAAAATTAGGGCAATTCATGCTTGCCCTTGGTTTAACGTACCTGATTGCATTCTTTTGCGGGCAATTTGTTGGTTTTCAATCCAATGCACTCTTCTGAGAATTAACTTTTATTGGAACTTCTGTAAAAGCACTTGATCTTGAAAAAGAAGTGATTAATTAATTTTCTACATATGATGGCAATAAATAACATGTTGCAAAAGCACTTAAACCAATAAGATTTGCCAATGGTAAATCTGGGTTATTTACCCTATTTTTTCAGGAAATGATTTGCATAGTTTGCACCCACCAATAACTTCGATTTTGTTATTGACCTTTACTTCAAAAGTTATAATAGCTTTCTTTTTCAACTACCCTCAATAGGAATATTGGATAATGCATCAAACAGTAAAGTGATGAAAACCAGTGAAAACAATAGGAATCTTTGTGGTGGTGTGGACCAGAGAAAACCAGTCGCTTGAAAGCAATTCCACAAAGGACAACTGAAACAAAAAAACAATAACTAACGGACACTTATACGATACTTTTGCTTCTTTTTTTCGATTAGATAGGACTTACCATATCCCGTAGTTATAATTCTATTTCGAAAAGTGAAATGCTTAGTGACAAAAGATGTAACATGAAGTTCGATATATGGATATGTCAGCATAATCTATATAATTCTACCCTGGTGATGCAATCCATCAACAAATCTATTGGAAACAAGAACAAAAATGAAATTTTCAGATGACATTAATTCCTACAAAATTTTCAATCCGATCGCATATTGGACCTCCTTGGATGCAATATATATGCTTCCTTTGGAATCACTCCAATGGTTGGATATGAAAGACACTGAGTCCATGAAATATTTTGAACCAGAGACCTGATCCATTGCATCTCAGCCATCCGTTCGATGATTGGATACTGAGAGGCATGATGGTGATGGAGGATAGCCAAGAATTATTTGATCACTAGTTCCTTATTTTTCATCTATTGATGATTTAAGCTACGGGATCTCTTGATTTTTTTAATAAACTGACTCAAAACTTCAATCTTGGTTTATCTTTTCTATTAACTATTTGGAATTTTATTTTATTTATTGCAGGATATTTTGAGGATATCTGATTTTCTTAATTAGAAATGCCCACAAATAGCAAATGCTGCAAGTTATAGGTGTAGTTGTTTAAATGCCTGCATGTATAGTTACTAATTGTAATTGTAATTGAGATATTAGAGATGATATCAATGTTTAAATAGAAAGAAGATGATAACAGTTATGCAGACTAAAGTAAAGGAAGAAAGAGGAGTAATGTGAGAGAATGAGGGTACTCTGATCCAATTTTGACTTGTAATCCAGTTCGCAAGTGCAACATTCAATATTTCAAACTGTAAAACTCTTATAAAATGTAGGGGTTTAGTTACTTGTACACATGTTGTAAAATCATCTACTTACATACAACAGTACATTTGCAAGCGGATTGCTTGCTGCAAAATGAACTTGAAGGCGGCTAATCTACTGGCAGACAACCAAACTCTCCCTCAAATCATAGGCTTCAAGGGTTAGGCATTCCATCAACTTGAAGTTCATCATCATAGAGTACAGTTTGATACTAGGTTGATTCACTCTTATGAAAGCTCATACAAAATGCAAGATGGAATACCCAACTCTCAGAAGTATAGGTTGTTGGTTAGTAATACAAAACTTGCACATAATTACCTACCACATCTTTTATCATATATATATGTGTGATGGAATACCCAACTCTCAGAAGCATAGGTTGTTTGTTAGTAATACAAAAATTGCACATAATTACCTACCACATCTATTATCATATATATATATATATATATGTGTGTGTGTGTGTGTGTGTTTATATATATATATACACACACACACACATCAATCTTGAGTGAAATTTATTAATCCACCTTTTCAACTAATTATTTAGTCAATTATTAGTACCTTATGTTCCTTCATTCCAAGTGAAGCTTTTCCTTGTCCCATGCATCCTCCAAGCCTCCAACCATGTTTTGACGCAAGCAGGTTTTTGTTTCACAATATGATCCTATCCCTCCACATCAAGTTTGCACAGTATATGTTGAAGCCATTGGTATAATACAATAGTCTTTGAATTTAAATTTAATATTGATTGTGATATAATGTGATTCATGCAATTAACTACTGGAAAAAGTGATTAAATACATTCTTGCATTTCAAATTTAAATCCAGTAATTGCATGATAGTCAGCTTATTTTGATATTTCCTCAATGGGGGTAACATGATTTGATCATATGTATATGTAGAAGTGTGTGTCTACCTATTGAAATAAACAGTAAAATTCTCTAGATTGAGAAATGATCCATCCACCACCTTCAGGTGTAAATCTGAAACTTATTTTGCTCAAGCTCAATAATGTGTTTTTAATGTTTTCAGAGAAGCTCCCATGTGATGCTATGTCATCTTATGGAGTTGAGGAACACATATTTCTCATCTTTGAAATAGATCCATTAGAGGTTGAAGAACTGTAATCTCCCAGCATTCCACAACTTAAATTTAACCCAATTCCTTTGCTCACCTGCCTCCTCTTCATGTCCCCCATATTCTATTCAGAAGCACCATTATTGCTTTTTTGACAGATTATATGCCTCCTTAATATAAATATATGATTTTATAAGAAAATGTCTACTCTTGAAATCTTGTTATTATTCCGTAGCTTGATGCATAATTACGATGCTCGAGCGTATCAACATTTTTACCCAATTTCAATTACTAACAACCTTAGGTCACCAATTCATTCATCCTCAAGATCTCCAGATGCTAAACAAACATAGTGAACAAAATAGAACGAGAGAGTTAAGCAGCCTATAAGCGTCAGATGTATCCATTCATTGCAGTCCTCAATCACAAGAGATCCACTTTCCCAACGATAACCCTAACTTTTAGAGGCAAAAGCCCTCCATAGATCTAAAAAACATGTATTTCAAATGTCATAACAAAAGAAGGAAATGCAAATAAACATAGCGAAAAAGATTAGTGCCAAAAGATCAAGAAAAATTGATCTATCATCTTTTTAAGCAAGAAATCAAGGCATCCACCATGAATATGAGACAAAAAATTAGTACTATACAAATAGATTTTCAGGAAATTCGCTTGATCGTCAGATTAGTACCTGACGAGAGTCGGCGGAGGAGGGAGCGACGGCGGTGGCCGCTCCGCGCAGAGGAAGGACGCGAGCCGGAGCCTCGGACGGCCTCGGGGCCGGTGATGCGACGACCGCGGGGCCGTGCAGCTGCTTCCCGAACCCATTGCTTGATTCAGAGCGAAAGGAGGAGGCGAGGCGAGAAGCGGCCAGCGACGGGGCGGGACATTCAACGAACCACCAGCAAATGCCAATCCAGAAAGAGTGAGTCGACCGTGAAACCCTTATACGGTCTTGTCAACCTTCAAGTCCTGATGAGTGGATTCTGCCACGTCAGGTCTTGCGAGACCATATCACCCCTGAACGACTTCACGGGCTTCCCCTGGAGCAAGAATTTCTCCAATATATTTTTAAACCGTCCTAAAGCTACCCGCTACTTGATACCCGACGGTGTACCGAGTGTTGCGATTGGACATATGACGTTGTCTAAGCCACGATGGGACCCGCTGTTCCCTCCCAAGAGAGAGTAACTTATATGACTAATATATTCTTTTTCCAATAATTTAAACGCATTATTTTTAGAGCGAATTCAAAAAAAATCATAAATTTAAAGAATTTTTTAGGAACATCCCAAATAAAAAAAAAATTATAAATTATTTTTTAATAAATATTTTACCTTTAGCTCTTATCGAGCCTGCTTTGCACTTCCCATCGATCGCCCTTGCATCGTAAAACAAGGGTAGGCCCACGTAGGATAATATAAGGGCACATGCGGATAATGACTACATGCAATAAGTTCGTTATAAATGATAATTACGATACTTATGCTCAAATCACGGATAAAACATGTAGGGATAAGATTGTTAAGGTAAACATAGATAGTAGCAACCCTCACAGTGATGGTGTAAGATGAAGATGATAGATTCAAAAAAAATTAATTTTTTAATTTATTATAGATAAAATGTTCTTCACACGCATGGGGTGCTCCCTAAGAATTTGTAATGCTGCACGAAAAATTCTCAAATTTATTAAATTTTTTCGAGAATTTATTTTTATTGTTAATTATATAATACTGCAAGGACACACATATGTTAAGAAGCTTGATTTGACACATTTGTCCTCAGTAACGCATAACGAACCTCGCACTATAGTTGAAAGAGGGCGCCGCCGTCTGTGGCTGTCCTCCTCCTTTCCAACCGCTCCGCGATGCTCGCTCGCCTTCGTAGTTCGCCGCGATGCTCTCCTCCCCTTGTTACAACTCCACCTTCTGCGCGACCTCTTCTCCTCCTCGTTAGCCGATGGCGCATCTCCTGACACCCGCTTGATGGTCGAATACCTGGTGAAGTCTTGCGGGTTCTCCGCCACCGAGGCGGCCGAGGCCTCTAAAACCCTAGCCCACCTTCGATCGACAGAGAAACCCGATGCCGTCCTCACCTTCATGAGATCCCAGGGCTTCGATGGCGCACCTCAGAAAGATGATAACTTGGAAGCCTGGCTGGATTCCTCTGCTGGGATGTGGAGAAGAACCTTGCCCCAAAGTTTCTATCTTTACGCAGCATGGGCTTCTCGGACTCCGAACTCGTTGAATTCATCCTGTCGATTTCCCTTGACGTCCACCGTTCCCTCCTCCCCAAGTTGGAGATGTGGGATGAAGTGTTTGGATCACGGGAGCTCCTCCTCGAGCATGTCAAATCAAGAGGCGACGTCGGTTTCTGACCCACTGAATTGAGAACAGGGTGCTTCCCAACCTGTCGTTCTTAAGGGATATGTGCGGTATCTCCGAGGAAAGGATCCGTCTCATCGTGAGAAATCATCCACATTTCGTCATAAAAAACAGATAATCTCCGGGCTTTGGTTGTTCGAGCTTAGGATATGGGGATGCCCCGGGAATCGATGCTATTCATGTGGACCATCACTGTCCTCTACCTGGTCTGCGAAGAAAACATTGAGGCCAAAATCAAGCTCATGAGAAGCTTGGGTTGGTTAGAGGTGGAGTTCCATGCCGCATTCAGAAAAATGCCAAAATTCTTATCTATTTCCGAGAAGGAGTTGCAGTGAAAGATGGAATTTTCGTCAATGAAGTTGGGTACATGCCTCCTGCAACGCCCATCAGCCGACGCTGTTGTTGTTTAGTTTGAAGAACAGGGTAATTCCTAGGTTTCGTGCGATGGAGATGTTGAAGTTGAACGGGTTATGGACCTCACAGTACAAGTTCCATTCCCTTGTAACGATACAAGATGCAAAATTTGTGGAGAAGTTTGTTCTCAGTTACAAAGAAAATGTTCCTGAGCTGCTTGACATTTATAAGTTGCGACTGGGTGAGAAGAGAGTTGATTTCTGTCATTTTGGATTTTGATAATTAGTAGCGCATACTTGATGGTCCATTCAGGCGTTGAAGAACTAGTAGCGTAAATTTGATGATCCGTTCAGGTGTGACTTTCTTCAGCACTGCATAAACAGAAATTCTGAACCAATCTTGTAGTAGCTTTCTAATTATTCCTTGATGTTTCTGAAGAATATGACAAATTGTTTATTTGGATGTGAAACTGCCAAGTTTTTATTCAAATTCCACTCAGCAACCTGATTGAGAAGTAGGATAGATTTATCTTGGGAACATGTGAGCTGAACTCTGTGCAATTTATTGTCTGACAAATTTAAATAGTTGGTTGAATTCAAGTTAATTTTGAAATTGATCAAAGGTGAAATTTTTGGTCAAGGAAGTCAGACGTATTCCATCCTACATCATCTGCCAGTCAAGACTAATGATTTGCAGTCTGGAGAATCACACTATTCATTTCTATTGTGTAATATCATTGTTGAAACTGAAAGTTGATAGTCAATGTACAATACGAGCTGCCTTCCACTGTATTCAGTAAAAAATTTGTGGGCAATTGTTCTTTGTTACAAAGAAAATGTCCCTGACCTGCTTGACATCTTTGTGACTGACTACGGTAGATAATACCTCTAGATTTGGATTCTGAAAATAGAATTGGAAGGTTTTATTTGAAGGTCTATCCAGGTGTAGGTTTCTTCTTGTTTAATAAGTTCAAGAGTAGGAGACTAGGAGTGATTTTAAACGAATCTTTTTGTCTTAATGATTGATTGCTCAATTAAATTTTGTCATTTAATTTTTTTTTGACATGGTAAATTCTCCATAGTTGGTCTGTCTGTGAACTGCAAGGTTTCCAAACTTCTAGTGATCTGATTGTGATGACATTTTGGATCTACCGTAGGAACTTGTGGCTGTCCAAATTATTGCCTGATGGGTACTTAGACGTTGTCATGTTGGAGTTTCTAATGGTTAATTTTCAGAGGAGTTATGCAATATCTGCATAAGGTCTTCATACAAGTTCCATAATCTCCATCAAATGTTTGAGTACGAGGAGCTTCATTGAATTTTTGGCTAGCAACAATTTCACAAAATACTTAAAACACCGAAGTCTTGTTTCTATAACTCGTTTTGAGTGATTCCTCATACTGATTTGTCACTTTGCATATCTCTGAGCAGAAGGTATATAAATGCATTATAGAATTGTTATATTTAGTCAACTGATTCATTTGCATGCTAATTAGAATATTACATTTTAAAGTTCTTTTATGCATTGTAATTTTTGCATGTATACTCTTTTGGTGGTCTGTATGATCATCATGGGCTAGATATTACTAGGAAATGCACTATTTACATATCAGTCAGATCTAACATTGTTA